GCCCCCCCCGGGGGGGGGGGGAGATGGCCACGCCACAATCTCTTCTCCTCCTTTCTCCTCTTGGGATCTTAGGCACACATGCCCACGCTCCCAGCATGACTTTAAGCCACCGGGTCCGGGACTTGAATTGCAGTCGACTACACGGGAATCCAGCGACATAGCCATTATACCAACTGCTGGTCCCCAAGAAGTACCTTTTCTAATTTACACAGTGGCATAATTCACACAACAGGAGCTAGGAATTACTTTATACTTTAATTCTTTCTTATAGGGATCAACTCTGGTTGTTATATCCTTGATTCAAACATCATTTAAGATATATATTTTTTTGTCTCCAGAAAAAGGGGATTTTTTTTCTGATTTTCTAATTAATTTCTAGTTTAATCGCATAATCAGAAAATGTCTTTAATACTTCTATCTTTTGAAATGAATTGATATTAGATTTGACTTAATAGATTATCAATGTTCATGTATACTCCATGGATACTTGGGAAGAAAAATGTATTCTCTCTTTTCTAATTTGCTTACAACTTGAATCCGGCAGCCTTAATCATTAGGCTATGGCTGGCTTGTGCTTGCAGTTTTTTTTTTTTTTTTGAGAGAGAGAGTCACTGTAGGGCGCGTGCGTTCGCCAGACAGACAGAGAGAGACATAGAGACAGAAAGCGAGAAATCAGAAAACGAGAAATCACCCCCCAGCGGGGATGGTAACGCCGCAATCCCTTCTCCTCCAGTCTCCCCTCGGGATCTTGGGCACGCACGCACCCAGCATGAGTTTTAAGCCACCGGGTCCGGGACGCGAACTGCGGTCGACCACGTGGGAGTCCAGAGACATAGCCATTACACCAACTGCCGGTCCCTGCTTACAGCTTTTTAATGCCATTGAACAAAATATGATATTACCTTTTACTTGATTTTTTATTTTTAAATAGAAAACTAGAATGAAAGTAGTGTTGTCAGGATTCTAAGAATTGTTTTTAATCCTATAGGGATTTAAATATTTCTTTTGGGGACCAGCAAGTGGTGTAATGATTATGTCACTGCACTCCCATGAACTCAAACAGGATTCAAGTCCCAGACCCGACAGCTTGAATTCATGTCGAGTGCATGTGCATGGCCAAAGTCCTGAGAGGAGAATGGAGGAGAAGGGATTGCAACGTGGCCAACCCCCCCCGGGGTGGGGGGGCTTCTCGCTTTCAGTCTCTGATTCTCTGGTGAGTACAGGCTTCCTATAGCAAAACTCTCTCTGTCTCTCAAAAAAAAAAAAAAAAAAGAATTTCCTTTTTTCTTACGAATATAATAAATTCTTTTTAAAAACTTCTTTAAAGAATCATTTTATTTAACTTTATTATTATTTTCAATTTGACCAGAGAGACAGAGAGAAAGTAGGTGAGACAACAAGCCACCAGGTATAGGACTCAAACCATAGTCGGCCATGTGGGAGTCCAGCATCCATAACCACCATGCCACCTGCCAGCACCAATAAATCTCTTTTAAACAAAAATAATTATTTATTTTATTTTATTTATCATCATCATTATATATTTTTAAATTTGATACAAATACTCTCTCTGTCTATCAGAGAGATAGACAGCAAGCGAAAGAGGGCAAGTGAGAAAGTAAGCTGCCAGGTGCAGGAGTCCAACCAAGGTTGGTTATTTGGGACTCCAGCACCCCAACCACCATGTCACCTGCCTGCCCCACAAATATAATAAATTCTGATGAACATTTCTGTTATTTTAGGGCCAGCAGGTAGCATAGTGTTTAAGGAGCTGGGTTCCCACATGGTCGGCCACAGTTCGAGTCCTGGACCTGGTGGCTTGAAACTCTCTCTGGGGATGTGTGGTGTGCCTACCCAAATTCCAGAGATGAGAATAGAGGAGAAGGGATTGTGGTGTGGTCACTCCCCTAGGTTCAATTTCTCACTTTCTCTCTTTCTCTCTCTCTCTGGTGAGTGCATGCTCCCTACAGCAAAAAAAAAAAAAAAAAAAGAACCCCTCTCTCTCTTCTTTTTTTTTTTAAGAGAAGTTTTCACTATAGGGCGTGTGAACTCGTCAGAGAGAGAGAAAGTGAGTAATCACTCCTGGGGGGATGGCCACGCTGCAATCTCTTCTCCTCTGTTCGCCTCTCAGGATTTTGAGCATGCACACACATGCACCTGGCATGAGTTTTAAGCCACCAGGTATGGGACTCGAATTGTGGTCAACTCCATAGGAGTCTAGCAATGTAACTATTACACCATCTACTGGTCCTGCAAAGCACTCTCTCTTAAAAGAAAAAATTTCTGTTAATTTTACTGAAATTTGAGTTTACCATTGATGCCAAAGACACATAGGTGCTGAAAGATATCCAAAGCAGTCCCCTTTTCTACATCCACTCACATTCCCAGCAGACAACCACAGAAGTTAAACTCATTTGGCTTGTCTTACAGTTTCTGTCTACTACATTTCCCATAGCTCAATGTCTTAAAAAGAAAACAGAAACATAAAAACAAGAGCAAAAGGTAGGCCAGCTGGGGGCCAGCAGATGATGTAGTTAAGGCATTGGACTCGCACGTGGCCAACTGCAGTTTGAGTCTCAGGCTTGGCAGCTTGAAACTCATGCTGGGTGTGCATGCACCGGTGCCCAAAATCCCAAAAAGAGAATAGAGGAGAAGGGACTGTGGCATGGCCACCCCTCTGCCCCCCTGAGGGAGGGATGATTTCCCACTTTAAGACTATACAAATATCCTGTTTCTCCTCACATTTTGGTCTCTAATTTTAGTACTGTCCCTCTTACTGTCTCTCTTTTGTCTCTTTCTGGTGAGCACATGCACCCTCTGGCAAAAACCTTAAAAAAAAAAAATAGTAGATCAGCTGGCATGGTGGTTCAAGTGGCTGGATCCCACATGTAATTGCATGGTTTGAGTCCCAGACCTGGTGGCTGAAAAAGCACTCCAGGCAAGCATGTGTGTGTATGCCCAAAATCTCAAAAGAAGAAATGGAGGAGAAGGGATGGCATCATGACCATCCTCCTAGTGGGCTTTCTCACTTTCTCTCTCTCTCTCTCTGACTCTCTAAGGTAAGAGCATGTACACTCTAGCAAATTAAAAAAAAAGAAGATAAAGAAGACGAGTGAGGGACCAACAGATTGTGTAATGGCCATGTCAGTGGACTCCCAGGTAGTTGAACACAAATTGAGTCCTGGGCTCAGCAGCTTAAAATTCACACCAGGCGCATGTACACACATGCACAAAATCCCAAGAGGAGAATGGAGGAGAAGGGATGGCAGCATTGCCATCTCCCCAGTGGGTGATTTCTTGCTTTCTGTCTCTCTGTCTCTCTCTGTGTCTCTGGCGAGTGCACTCACCTTACAGCAAAAGTCTTCCTTAAAGAAGAAGAGTAAAAAGCTGTTTCTAAAATTATTAAAGAGAAAACTTGCATCAAAATGTTCTCTCTTGGCTAGCAGATGGCTGGTAATTGTTATGTCACTGAACTCCCACATAATTGACCACAATTTGAGTCCCGGACCTGGCCACTTAAGTTCACACTGGGCACATGTGCATGAATGCCCAAAATCCCAAGAGGGGAATGAAGAAGGAATTGCAGCATGGCCGTTCCCCATAAGGGGGTGATTTCTCACTGTCTGTCTGTCTGTCTGTCTGTCTCTCTGTCTGTCTGTCTGTCTCTCTCTCTCTCTCTCTCTCTCTCTTTCTGCCTCCCCGGCAAGTGCACGTACCCTATAGCAAAAAATCTCTCTCAAAAAACTGAGTTTTCAGAGCCAGCAGATGGCATGGTGGCTAAAGATGCTGGGCTCCCACATGGCTGACCGTAGTTTGAGTCTCAGACCTGGCAGCTTGCTTTCTCACTTTCTTTCTTTCTATGTCAAATAAAATAATAATAAACAAAGTTAATTTTTTTGAGAGGTTTTTCCTATAGGGTGCGTATGCTCGCCAGAAAGACAGAGAGAGACAGAAAGCGAGAAATCACCCCCTGGGGAGGTGGCCACACTGCAATATCCCTTCTCCTCGATTCTCCTTTCACGATCTTGGGCAAGCATGCACACACGCCCGGCGTGAGTTTAAGCAACCCGGTTCAGGACTCAAACCACAGTTGACTACATGGGAGTCCAGAAACAGCCATTACACCAACTGCTGGACCCCTAATGAAGTTAAATTTTTAAAAAAGCAAGCTTAAAAAATATATATCTCTGGGCCAGCAGGTGGCACTGTGCTTAAGGCACTGGATCCCACATGGCCAAGTCTGCTGTTGGTGTCCTAGACCTGGTGACCTGAAAAACACACAGGGTGCATTTGCATGTGTGCCCCAAATCCCAAGAAGAGAATGCAGGAGAAGGGACCCCTAATGAAGTTAAATTTTTAAAAAAGCAAGCTTAAAAAATATATATCTCTGGGCCAGCAGGTG